CTTATCTAGGTGCCCCTGTGTGTGTTCTATGTGTACATCCTTTCATGTCTTTCTTTCTGTGTGAGCCTCTGTGTCTGTCTGTGAGTGTGTGCCTTTGTGAGTGCCTCTGTATGTGTTCTGTATGTTCATGTATATATCTACTATATTGTGAGTGCTACATTGTTTCTGCTCCCTTGGGACAGAATGTGCATTTTATTACAATGTTAATAACAATAAGACTTTAATTTGAATGAGTTTGTTAAAAACACCCTCTTGCAGCAGTTCATTACTTGGACAAATGGCAGAGCCAATCCAGATTAAAGGGACACATTTCTAAGCACTAACACCACTTAAATCTAATGAAATAGTTTTGTTGCCTAGCCTTATCCCTTTTGTGTTGCAATGTTTATATTATGCCGAGAACAGATGCCACAACTCTGGATTGGACTAGAGATCATCTGAATGGATCATCTCACTAGAGGAGATGCTGCCTTGTGATTACTGGTGAGACCCCAAGAACAACTCTAGCATTAAATATAAATATATGTATTTGTAATATTAGAGTGTTCCTTTAATGGAAAATTGTCACCTCAAATATATTTTTTTATTATAATAATCCTTTCAAGTTTTGAAAAGAAATAGATTTTTTTTTTATTTATTAAATGAAGTATATGTAAAAATAAGGAGAGGAACTCATCCCTACCGTTAGTATAAGACAGGATCCTTCAGCCATATACATGCACCATGGGTCAGACAGTTGGTCTCTATGGTCTTCCCTGCTTCCCTGCACAGAAGCTGGGAAGACTATAGAGACTGTCAGTTTTAATACGGCAGTTTTTACCAGCAACAAGACACCAAAGAAAATATCAGAACTGCAGTAAGGAAAGAAGGAATCTGATATTAATGTACTACACTGACAATTATAAAATAAAAAGCTTACATGTTACTTAAGTATATATATTTTTCAGGAGTCCAAATGTTACAATCAAAAATTCTGCTGTATCAACAAGAGATCATAACCAGGGCTGTCTTTAACGCAGGACAAACGGCGCAGCTGCCCCGGGCCCAGCTATTCCTGGGAGGCCCAAGGCAGTTGCCCCGTGGAACCCGCCGCCCTCAACAATATTTTTTTTTGCACCAGGGCCCCGCACTCTAAGGAGTCCCACTCGGTGGTCCATGCACTTAGGGTCTGGTCGGGCGCTGTGGCCTTTTCACAGTGCGACTAGGCCTCTTGCTTTTCGGCAGCATGGGAGGAAGTGACAGCCGCGAGTAATTTCCTCCCATAAAGAGAGGAGCTGCACTGGAGGGGGCAGGACAAGCCGCGCTTGAGGGAGGAGGATGCAGTGAGGATGGGGGCTCCTCATTCCCATCAGCCTCAGGCACAACAGTGGACCTCAGGGAACCACCCTCCAGGAAAAGGTAGGAAACTGGAGGGTGGGTTTAAAAATGTAAATTTTACATGTGTGTGTGTGTGTATCTGTATGTTTCTGTGTATCTGTATGTTGTCAATGTGTGTATCTGTGTGCGTATCTGTATGTAGTCAGTGTGTGTATCTGTGTATCTGCATGTGTGTCAGTGTGTGTACCTGTGTGTCTGAGCACCTACATTGAATACAAATACACCGCTCCATTCAAACTTCAACATTACATTCAAACACACTCCTGCATTTAAAAGTCAACACTACATACAAACACATTCCTGTGTTAAACACCAAAATTATTTATAAACACACTCCTTCATAAAGGCATGCTTTCATTCGAACTCCAACACCACATACAAACACATTCACACAAACATACTCCATGCAAAAACATGCTTACATTCAAACACACAAACATGGCTGAGGGCTAAATACCAGGAAATTGGTAGAGCCCCAGCTATCAAAGCATTGTAGGAGTTGCACACCAGATAGGGTTCTACCTTTTGTCCAACCTTGCAATTGGGGGGCACAATAACATTCTTGCACCAGGGCTCTTTCTACTTTAGTTCTGACACTGTGTTGGGTTGGAAGGCGTGATTGAATGCCAGAGAGTTGAGTCCAGGGGACCAAAGCAAATGCTTGCCCAGGGTTCAATCAATATTAAAGATGGCCATGATTATAATCATTATATGTGTTGCATATATAATATAATAGGCCAGGATACTTGTCACGTGAAATAAAGTGGGGTTCTTAACCAAGGGGTTTATTCAATGAACAGTAAGATTATTCAATGAAATCAGAATTCAAAGTAGATTTCAAAGTCAGCTATGCTTTTAGTTTGGCTACTTTGGCCTCAAATTTGGAATCACTTTGAATTCTAAACACTGTAACTTGTAGTGAAATGAAAACCATATTTCAGAAATGAGTCCAAAAGAGCCAGCTGGAAAAATAGAGAAATAAAGTTGAAGATTTGTTTCCAAATCAGAAAATTTTGGGCTAAATTCTAAAAGTCTGTTTACAGTTCACTGTTCATTGAATATCCCTTAGTCAGGAATTAATTAGAATTAAAGGGTCACTCCGGACAACATAACAACTTGTATGGTGCCAGGAGAAACCCGGCGCCAGCTTATCTTTTTGGAGTTAAACATTCACTAAAAATTTAACCACAAAATCTTGAATCCAGCACTGATTAGCTTTGCCTTTGCCCTTCCTCTTCTCTCCAATTCAGGAACCAAGAAGCTTCAGACAGGTATAACACTGATTGGCTCATGGCGTGAGCTGACGCTCAGATGCAATCAGTAGCTCTTCATTCATAAAAACAGCTGGAGAAAAATATGTACGTTTCTCAAGCCATTTGGAAATGGGGAGCTACACTGAGTCTCTCACCCTATCAGCAGAAACCCTGTCCAGAGTTTCCTGTTTCAAGAATCAAAGAGAAGCGGTGGGGCAGGGGCAGAGTTAAACGGTGCTGCATTTTTAAGACTTTAAAAAACAAAGCCGGCACCAGTGTCCCTTCTGGCACCATAACAACTTAATTCAGCCAAATTTGGCTGAATCCAAATGTACAAGTGTAATTTATATTGATATTGATGGTCTGACTAAGCAAAAACAAAACAAAATTGGGAAAGTACCAATAGCTTCTTTGCACCATAACCACTATACATTGTTACTGCTGCCTCTGCAAAGACTCAAATCTCTCATTGCTTATATCTGTTATGGAGCATAACCGCAGCTTAACCATGTTTTTTATTAGGCAACAATAACAGAATAAAGTGGAGATCCAGGTATATTGTAAAACTATAGTAATTTGTGTTTTGTTTTGTTTTTTTATTTTTATTATTTGCAATATGTGATTGTAAGCTCACAGTAGTATCTAGTAGGGTGTTGAAGTCCGTAGGGTTCTCTTCTCCTTTTGTATCTGTGTGTGTCTGTCTGTATACCCACCTATGTTCTTTTTGATTAATTTGTAAAGCACTATGGATAAGTGATCTATGGTATATATTAGCTTTCATATTTGTTTAATTGGTTTTATTTTTTAAGGCTTTAGCCAATTCATTATAATTTGATTCATTTTTTGTTTTGTGCAATTCTGATATTTTCTTTTGTTTTTCCAAGTTTTCTTGGAAGAGGCCCTAGTAAGCACCAGTGGTGGATAATCATTACGTTCTGTGATGATATTTCCCAATCCCAATCGTGAAGAGAATGAAAGTGATGTTCAAAGTCCTGAAATGTTGATTACAAGAAAATAGTTATTTAGAAAAAAGTTAATAAAACTGGCATTACTGGTCAATGATATCTGTTAACTATGTAAAAAGTTCAATATTTATTGAAGAAAATGTTAATGAAACATCATTTTAGGTTTTTGATTAATATGGAATGTATTTTGGGTGTCAGGTAGCTATAGCATATCTCCCAACTGTCCTGGATACAAGATCTTGGCAAATACAATCCCAATTTGGACTTTTTGTCCCAACATTCTGGAGCTGGGTTTTCGACTGACATGAATGGATGTCATGCATTGTGTCCAGTACATTTTCAGTAAATTTTTTATATGTTCTTGGTGAGTTCTTGTTTTATGGTCTTTGTATGTGTTTAACTGTCTGTATATCTATGTTACTGTGTATATGTGCCTATGTTATGCATGTAAAAGAATAAAGAATGTGTAAGGAATGCACAAGCAACTTACACCCTAAACAGTAGTGAACTAGGGATAACAACGGACAAGAAGGATTTGTGAATTGTTATAAACAACAAACTAAGCAATAATGTGCAATGTCAATCAGCAATTGATGAGGCCAGTAAGGTATTGTCATGTGTAAAAACATAGAAAGTGATGGCAGATAAGAACCATTCGGCCCATCTAGTCTGCCCAAAAAAGGAGCATAAATGCAAATTTTGTCTCTTTACATATTAATGGTAAGACCACACGTTGAATATGTTGTAGAATTTTGGACATCTGCTCTAAAGAAGGATATTATGGCAATAGAAAAAGTGCAGAGGCGGGCTATAAAATTGATAAAAGGAATTGAACATTTTAGTTATGAAAATAGGTTAACAAATTGAAATCTGTTTAGTTTAGAAAAATTGTGCCTCAGATAGGATATGATACCATAATACAAATATATTTGGGACCAATACAAACCATTGTCTGGAAATCTATTCCTACACAAAACTATACATAGAAGACGTGGTCACATATTTAGACTTGAAGAAAAGAGATTTAGTCTAAGGCAAAGGAAAGATTTTTGTTTTTTTACAGTAAGGGTGTTAAATTCTCTAGCCTGAAGATGTGGTTTTATCAGAATCTCTACAGATGTTTAAACAGCAACTGGATGAAGACTGATAAAAACATAGCATTCAGGAATATAATTTGTAATTTGTAGGGTAATAGCTAATAGAAGGATTTTATTCCAAATTTGTTGCAAAATTGGGAAGCGCTTCAAACTGGTTTATCTTTGCCTTCTTTTGGATCAACAGCAAAAACTGACGTGATAAAGGCTGAAATTGATGGATGCATGTCTCTTTTCAGCCTGTAACTATGTAAGTATGTAACTATTCGTATGTCCGTATATGTATGTGACTGAATGTGTTTATGTAACTATGTGACTGTGTATGTGTGTCTATGTATGTATGTGACAGTCACATACATACATAGACACACATACACAGTCACATAGTTACATAAACACATTCAGTCACATACATATACGGACATACGAATAGTTACATACTTAAATGTGCCTATGTAAGTATGTAACTGTGTATGTGTACCTATGTATGTGACTGTGTGTCAATGTAAATATGTAACTGTGTTTATGTATGTATGTGATAGTGTGTGTCTATGTAAGTAAGTAACTGTGTGTGTGTGTGTGTCTGTCTATGAATGATTGTGTTGCTAGTTGTATATGTATTGGCTAACTGTATAATTTAATACATCACTGGTCAAAACCTCATTACATCCCCACACCCTCCTTTTTCACCCCCTCACCATTCCCCATCCAGTAATGGGAGTTATGCTACAGCCCCTTTAGAGAAAAATGTGAGTTGTAGTCCAACAACTTCTAGGGGATATGCAATGTTTGATGACTGATGCGTGGAGGAGATGCCTCTGAATGTTTGTCTTTTGTAAATTAGTTCAATAAATGAGTGATTATACATGGAAGTACTCCGGGTCTGCTTCATTCATATAGAAACATACAACATGCAATTGTATAGACTTACATCATCATTGTGAGCATATGAAAGGCTTCCTGATGGATGACCTTTAGCCCAATTTGTGTAGTAGACTCCACTTTGATCGGTCCAGAGGAACTTGTGCTCAGAATTAACATCATTAAGTCCGATCCAAAGATCAACGACTGCTGATTTGGAATTGTAAGTGAGAACAGCTAGAATACAGAAATTTTTTTTTCTCAATATCTTCTATAGTATCCTTGTATCATGGATTTAGAATTTTAAAACTGAAAGCTGTAGAGAGGAATTCTATAGTTTTTAAATTTCCATATTGTATGTACCTTGTAGTACAGGACACAGGAGTTAAAAAAAATTCAGTCCCTTATAAGTGTGCCATCATGGATCCTACAAGCTTCCAGCGATAAGTAGCTTTTAAACCTGTCTAGTAGCGTAGGACTTGAAATTGTGAATGCTGTTGTATTATATATATTTATTATGCAGCCCTTAAAGCATTGGTTCTTAATTTTTTTTGCCCAGGACCTAAATAATGTATATTATTATTATTTATAAAGTGCCAATAATTTCCGCAACACTGTACAATGGGTCGACTGGGTGCACAGGGATTCCTGTAATGTTGGCCCTGCAATGGCTTGACGACTCAGTGTACAGTTGTGAAATTAGCTCAGTGATCAATTCTTTAATTGGAACATTACATCAATATTAATCACCTTTGGTAGGCTCTACCTAGTGTCTGATAGGTCTCCTTTGCATTGGTAAAAGCAATGCTGCAACTTTAAACCATTTATTGTGAACACGTCCTTGGGACCAGATGAATACGTTGTACCCATTGCAATGAATATGGGCTGATTTTAATAAAAAGGCCGTTTTATAAAAGTGAGAATTTGTAGTGTTTTTAATTAATAAATATTCTTTAAACTTTCCACGTGACGTGTCATCAATTTAAAAGGGGAAAAATTCCAAGTTCTCGGGCTAAAAGCCATTGATATGCTAATAAATGTAATCAGTATTTGCTCCTTAAATTGAGTGTGAAATTTGGAAATCTTTAAAAAAAACAAAAAACGTTTTAGAGGATCCATAACAGATACCAGACATCTGAAAGAAACTCTTGAATTGTGAGGTTTATATTTTCTGTCTATTTAGTTTTATTATTGTTTTATTCTGAGGCAGCGTTCATTTAATTCCATGACACAAACTGTATCATTATCCCCACGTCATATCCTCGTAAAGTAGATTGCAGACTGAGCAGCGGAAACAGACATCCCTTACCTTGTAAGAGGTCATCATTTATTGTAACCAGGTTGCCCTCCAACCCCATACATGCTGTGCGTGATTCGTGCCAGTCGTTCCGTTCACTTTCTTCATTGCCAAACATTTTGTAACACTAAAATAATAGAAAGTTATATAGTCTGCATTGGAAATGAGAAGCTCTGAATTCTCTAAACAACATGGCTTGTGATATATTGGAAAACTTTTCTAATTCATCAAAGTAATAAAGGTATTACGGTTTTCAGTACATAGATGAAGCATCTCTGTAGTTGGGTAATAATGAGTTATGTGCACTCTTTTGCCAGCGGCAGTGGGCATTCCACTGACAGTTAGCTTAAAGGAGGGATGATGGCATTTAAATAGATCAGAGGATAATGTATCCCAGGTCCATACTTAGTAGAAACCACAAGGTAGACACTCCCTCATGAGTACGGGATTGCTCTTCAACATTAAAAGTTGATTGTTTTTCTCAATTTGCAATAGGTTTTTAATTTTGTTTATTCCCAAGTATACTTATTTCCTAAATATACTTGTTTCTAGGACTGTGAAACTTAAGATACATCTGATAAGACAAGGTTAATTTATTTTTAATTATTTAGCAGACTTTTTTTTTACAGCATTCTGGTTGTGGACTGCCTGATCCTTGTTTTTCAAGTGAGTTACCCAGGAAATGAGGGAGATTTAAAGGTTGATTAAAGATGGCTTCATTTTTATTGGTCTACCTCCTCCCCCACAACCTCTGACCCTTGTGGACAATGCAAGATTTTATCTTCTTTAAGAATAGTCATGAAGAATGTCCCCATTCAAAGTTGAATATGCAAACCAGAGATACAGATACTGTAGTTAGATGATATGCTAATCTACCTTTTTTCTAAATGAAATCCAGTCTGATGCGCATCCCCCCTCCGGTGATGGTAAGGTTGGTGCAACCGTTACATTTATAGAGCTATTTTTTCTTTCACATATGAATGGATATGGATGACCACAGTTTATATCATTCCAATTTCCTGCAAGAAAACAAACAAATTATTTTTACTAGAGGTGAAAACGCTGTTAGGCTTTCTACTGTTTTTAGGTGGATTATAATGCTGTACTAATAAAATATAGATGTAATCCTGCAATTCACATTGTCCACACAAAGAGTGATGTACCATCTTAACGGCAATATTTTAACTAGAAGATTCACAAGGCTCATTCCACCATTAGTATATTTTATTAGGCACCATATATCAAATATATCCAATGTTTTTAAATTGTACACCTTACCGTTTATATATATTGTGTTACATTTTGATGCTTTCGTTTTCTACGTGCCACTTGGCAAAATCAGAAATTTTTGTTTAATTCTGTTTTCAAATTCAAAGCTATTGATACAACAAAATATTGTACATACCCATATTTCTATACATGGCAACACAGTTTTCATCGTTATTTGCAAAGTTGGGTTCATGGCTTGCCCAGGCCACATAATCTACAGGGGTATTATCCATCCACCTAGCAAAAATATAACAATAGAAATTAAATATTTTTACACATATGGATAAAGAATTGCACAACATTACAGAGCTACTAAATCGTAGCAATGTCAAAATGGAACACATAGTAATTAATGAACTAATAACTTTACCCCAAATGTGATCTGGCAGCTTAATTAACTATTTTGTTGTTTCTCAAGGAAAAGCCTAGATCAAGCTTGACAGGGTAATTTTTCTATATCCATAAAAGAAACACATTTTAAGACAAACCAGTGATCATTATTTTCCCTGTTCTAAATTTTGAGATTTGAGAACAAAATGCCCTATAAAAATATGTTTCTTGTGAGGTTGAAACATACACTTTCATTTGATTGATAAAACATAACATCAACATCAATCAAAATTCTACTAAAACATATGCAAACGATATAACTTAGCTATCGTTTCCAGAGGTATAACCTCTGCACACCCATAAAGCTTTGTAAGTTATTGCAAGAGAGTACCGTAAGCCGTGTCACGACACGTGTTTTACCAGGCAGGCTCTTCTTCTGAAAGCTTTGTGAAGAAGAGCCTGCCTGGCGAAACATGTGTCGGGGAACGGCTTACGGTACTCTCTTGCAATAACTTACAAAGCTTTCAGAAGAAGAGCCTGCCTGGCGAAACACATGTTGTTATTTTCAGCTCAACTATTTTAGCTTTTTGTTTTAATGAATACATCCAGTTGAATATATCAGAGAGCTTGTTGTGTGGCTGTAGAATAAACATGTTATCTCCCAGAATTGATTGGATTTTTGTTATTAGATTTTAGTATCCCTTCGCATGCACTTTGATGGAGGTATTGAAACCAACAGGACTACTTTAGTTATTTACCAAACATGCGTCCATTTTTTGCAAACCTTTTTTTGAAGCATTAATAAAGTTATTAAAGCATGTGAATGAAAAGTAAATCATTTAGATGTAATCCATGCACTTACTTAAATTCTGAATCCAGTCCTAGTCTCATCCCAATGTAATATGAAGAGTGCTTAGAATTTCCTTTCTTAAGAATCTTTGGAGTATAAAAAATAGAGAAAGTATTCAGTTAAAAAAACAAAACAATTCATTAATAAAAAAAATTCTAAACCAAACAATAGATTATTTAAAGACAACAATTAAATGCAAACCCTCCCCCCCCCCCAAAAAAAACGTAACACACAATATCTCTGGAAGCGATAGCTAAGTAATACCTATATAAATATATATACCGTATATACTCGAGTATAAGTCGAGTTTTTCAGCACATTTTTTGTGCTGAAAAACCCCCACTCGACTTATACTTGAGTCAATGTCTGTATTATGGCAACTTACATTGCCATAATACAGACCAGGACCACCAGGCTCATTACAAGCCCGGCGGTCCTGTTGGGGGCTGGCAGCGAGCTGTAACTTACCTTTCCTGCAGCTCCTGCATTCATATATACACACACACACAGTGCATTCATACATACACACACACACACTGCATTCATACACACACACACACTGCATTCATACAAACACACTGCATTCATTATATACACACACACACAGTGCATTCATACATACACACACACACTGCATTCATACACACACACACACTGCATTCATACAAACACACTGCATTCATTATATACACACACACACAGTGCATTCATACATACACACACACACACTGCATTCACACACACACACATACACACTGCATTCATACACACACACACTG